AGCGGTCCAGCAGTACAAGGAAGCCACTGAGAGAACTGTCCCTATGGTTCAGCAAAACCCAGCTGGACCTACCCCGGGGACAAAGCCGAGTGAAAGTAAGGGTCCTAAGAAAGCCCAAAAGCCACAGAAACCAGTGGCCGGTTTGCCCAATGAAAGGAAGTCTGACGACTCTCTAGAGACGAGTCAGGCGGCTGAGGGCACCGAGGAAGACGCTGAGGAGACGGCCAGTGAATCGTCTAGTGGAGCCCAAACAAACACTGACGACAAGGCCTCCGAGAGCGTGGGCACGGAGAGTGACAAATCAGACTCGGATGATGACAGTGATGACAATGATAGTGATGATGTGGAGCTCACATATGCACTAATTAGAAAAGGGAAGCTGCCCGCCGAATCTCCAAAGAAGAGAAGAATCACTGCTGAAGACGCAGCACCAATCATAGCTCGCAGACCTCAAGTCTTCACTATTAAAGAAACAGCTAAACCAAGAGCTGATCCGAGCGAGACAAATTGCTCAAAGGATGATTACGACGAGGCAGCTCACTCCATCAAGACATCAATCAACCAGGAAGAAGTTGTCATCCGAGAGACAAGGGCTAAAGTCAAAAATGACAAGGTTGCTAAGGCCAGGCCCCAGCCCCGAGCGACAAAGAGTCTGTTTGATAAGGCAGACGAGCACATCTTTGCTGGCTGCGACTCCTTCATCCAGATAAGCCGAGCTGAATCCCTAAGCACAGGAGCCGATCTTTTCGGTTCCCGAGTAGAAGTCGCAGCATCTGGCTCAACTGCGCATGCACAACCCTCTCCCAGCCACTCAATTGCCTCTCAAAAGGTTATTGTTTCAAAAGAACGGGACTCAACCCCCTCGCTGGTTCCTTCTGAATCAGTTGAGCATACAATTGACCTATCTCCCGAGGTCAAACCCCTTCTTCACTCACATCGAGTCTAGGTGTCACATTTCCCACATTTTCTTCCTTTTCTAGGACACCTACACTATTCACAGCACATACAGGTGCACTCACCCTGAACGCAACAACCAGAGCGCAAGCTATGACGGTTGGAAGCCCTGCTACGCCCATAATGATTCCATCATTAAATGCAGGCCACACATCAGCAATCTTCACTGATGCTGTGTCAACAGTTACAACCCCCGTAACTGGTCACCCTACCTTTGAAGACGTAAACGTTCTACTAAACCGCTTCCTAGATTCCACCATTAAACCATGGGTGCAAGATGCAATGACCGCTCTAGCACAGGAATTTAGGACCACCCAAGCGGTTCGGTCTGAACAGACATCAACCCAACCTTCCCCTGAACCGTTCATCTCCCATACACAACCCATATCCTCCACCCCTCTATCCCACCAATCCATCAACCAAATTCCTATCCCTTCTATTTCTCGGGGAACCCAGAATACAGAACCAGTATTCTCCCCACACCCGACCACACCCTCCATCGATCTCTCCTCCCTATCCTTTGACACCCTAGCTTCGGCTCTGCTGAATAACCTCTTAAATACCCCAGAAGACGACCTCACTCTTCATCAGCAAGCCATACTAGAAGCTCTTCTTTCCTCACCCGAAACCAAGAGTACTTGCAAGGAGAGTCTTCGTGGTCGCAAACGTTCCCATGAGGACCCCGATGATTCGGATCCTCATGAGGGGGAGAACAAGCGACCTCGATCACTTGAGCAAACTGCTCTACCAAGCCAAACTCCACAGCCAATTCAACCTGAAACCTCAACAAACCAACAGCCACCATCCACAGCCAAACAATCTAGCATGGTCGAGCTAGAAATAACATCCCGAGGCGTATCTCCCAGAGATACCAACCGAGGAGGGGATGGAAGTCCTGATGATGATACCACTGGTACATCTTCTCCATCAGGCCATCAGTTGGAACCCAGTTCTAAGCTGATGTCAACGGGCAATCCTAGTGAACCCGGTAGTGCTACACAAGAACAATCACCGCCTAAACAAAGAACTCCATATATCTCCCCAGGCAAAGACATCCATGATGCACTGGAAGAGGCGGTGATATACGACAAATGGCCGAGAAAATGGACAGAATGGGACGATCTCCGGGTTGAAGCCGAGCAAGAGGACATGCAACGAAACTGGTGGCTACGAGAGCTTATTAACAAATGCTCTGAAGATATCATTAGGCTCGAGGACGATGAACGCAAGGAAGGGGAGAACTACAAGGAATCCCAGAAAGCTCTTGAATCAGTCGTAAGACAATCAGCGGGAAGACTTCCCAAGACAGAGAAACCCTGGGACAACGTTCGAATCAAAGCCCCCTTCCAAGAAGAAATCAGAGAGCATATCTGGCGTAGACCAGACAAAGTCAAGCCACTGAACGAACTGAAGCTAAGAGGCCTTACACACTTAAAAGGAAAACAGGCTGGAGGTCATCTGCACATGTTGCTGCAAAGGTCAACCGGTACACAGAGAGAAGTGATGGAACAAGATCTGAAGTCAAATATTCTCCCGATTCATCAAATTCTACAAGTGAAAGCTGAAGACTATCATGGAGTAACATTTTACACTTTCAGACTTCAACGCACCGATGGGAGCGAATTCACTTGTCAAGAGAATGACTTCATCATGCTGAAACCGGATGACATCTATCAAATGCTCATGGCCTACAGATACCTTCCAGTAAGGCAAAACATAGTATACAGCGAAGGCCTCGCAGCTATCAAGAGATTCATGCTTAGACAGATCCGAGTACACTCCTCACATGACCTACAAATGGCTATTGAATGCAATCTGAAGAAGACAAATCTGACAAAGCCAAAACTGTATGGTCCAGAACTTGAAGATTTCCCAGCCTATCACATCTTCTTCAAACCGCCAGCAGTCACCTACCTGAACCACAAGAACGAAAAGCGTCTGATGGTAGTCAGTGAAATCGAGAAATACTGCGACGGAACACTGAAGATAATCAGAGAGCAGATTCTACAAATGAAAGCAAAGCTGGAAGAAAATCTTCAAGAGGCATCGTCTTATGTTCAAAAGGAACACTCTACTGTGGAGACAATTTTAAAGGCCATTGACGATCGCCTCGAAAAGAGGAATATGCTAAGACAATATGAACATGCACTTGGATTAAGGAAGCACTACTTCAAATCACAGAAGCAATAAGAGAATGACACTTGATCACAAATGGGGAGATTGTTGGAGATATTTTATTGTGAATCAAGTTGGTCATAGATTAGCTTTATATTTAATCCTTGTATTTAAATAGTGCATAAATTAGATAGAAATCAGGCCAAGTGTTAGGCCTTTTTAAACAGGCCAAAAGCCTGTTACGCCTAACCTAAACCTCGCCTATAAAAAGGGAGCCGAGGTTTAGGAAAAGGCTGAATGTCGTACTTATTATTCATAGCCTTACGCTTATATCATTCTGCTGTACGTTCCACGGTTTATCAAAGAAGGTTTTACGGTGATTCATTCTGTGTTCATCTTTACGTTTAATCTTCCTTGTTAGATCGATTATTCATTGCTGTTACAGAAACAGGGACTAACATTCTTTGTGCTCTTTAACCGTCATATGCGCTCTAATTTATTTTCAATGTTGACATTGTATTATCTAAATAAACATTAATTTTTGACGTAGTATGTAATTGTATGTGCACTTTTAGTCTGAGTATTGTGATTTTAACATCTTTAAGATATTTATAAATTTTCATGGTGAGCAGCATATTGCATATTTTCAATTTGATCAGTTGTTGAAAATTGTGCACTTTTGATTTATTATTTTTGTAATTAAAAACAAGAAAACAGGAATGCGTCCAACTTGTTTGAGATATAATGAAACTATTGCAATACTAATATATATCGAGCAAAGAATTTAAAGTGCAATTAAATTAAAATATAGTGCATAATAATATGCATGAGGTGCATGATGCACACACTTAATGTTTGCAACATAGAATATATATATATAAGTGGATAATATATTGGTTATAGTAGAAAATATATAAAAGTGCACTTAGTAGAAAATAATGTTTAGTTTTCTAATGATGCACCTTTAAAGCGTAAAAATTACATATATAGTGTGGTTTTTATGACTAGTAAAATGTGCACGGTGAATTGCAATAGTGCATCTCTTTATAGATTGAAAATGCATTTATTTTTTGTTAGTTGAATCTCTTGTATACTCTTTACTTTCAATTTTATTTAAAGATAAATTGTACTGAAATGCACAAATGCATTAGTAAAGAGTAATCTAATATATTAAAAGTGCATCTTAATGGGATAAAAAGTGATAGTTACAAAAGTGCTGATTAATATTTTAAAAAGTGAACTTTACATTGATAAAGTGCAAGTTAATGTTATAATTAAACAGTGCAAAAAATATTACGGAGTATATTATAAATAATAAATAAAGTGCGCAATTATTTAAATATTTTTGCATCATTTAAATAACAAAAGTGCATTTCAAAGTCTCATGTAAGCTAATTAGCTTTTGAAGTGAGAGTGATAAATAAATATAATTAATTGTATGTTGTGTAACTCAAAATTAAGGAACTTCTTTAATGGAAAGTAATTTAATAATGCATGTGGGGTACCCATTTATTTGGAAACTAACTAATGGACCATGTATTTTAATTAAATAGGTCATTTGAAGACAACATTTTAGGAGTCACGATTTGTTTGTATGAGTCAGTATTTTACTAAATTATCCTTTGCATTAATACGTTTACCCACATGCATGGTATTGCCCATACAAGTTTCACTTAATTACAATAATATAACCACTCAGTAAATTTAATCTAAACCATTCATTGTATATAATTGATGGATGGATTTCTTTCTCATTTCTCTCCTAGGTCTCCTTTCTCACCGGAACCACTCCATATATATATATATATATATATATATATATATATATATATATTAACCGTGGCCCGCGCCTTGCGCGGGGTCTTGCCCAATGATGGTGAATATTTTTGAAACAAAACAAATGCAAGGGTCTATGCGCGTGGGTCATGCCCAATGGAGTGGAGAAAATTGGAAGCACAAATATATCAAAATCAAACAGCGAAAGTAACAATTTCTTAAACTGGTTTATCCCTGCGGTAAACTGAATGCATTGCAAGAGTGCTAAAAAATCACATCCAATAGGCTTTACATTCGACAGAAGGTTACTGAAAATGTTGCCTTTCAACCATATACCTTGATTCCTGAAAAAGAAATTGAGTAAAATACATTGAAATTACATATCTATGTAAAGGGGAAAAATACGCCTCAAAATCAATATCGTCTAGCTTCTTGTAGAACAAACTTCCCAATTGAAAATAATAAAGGTCATAATCAATCAAGAATATGCACCTGCAAATACTCAACCACCACTTAAACTGGTTAACTACATATGATCTGTCTCTTTGCAGATTCAGTCCCTGACTATCAGTGAAGCATGTGCAACAAATTAGTATTCATAAAATACATGAAATCAATTCGTTACAGCTTAAAGCTAAAAGTAGAAAACCGAATAAAAGAAACGATTATCGAATCTGTGAACACTGAGAACTGAACATACATTTTAATTTAAAAAGAAAATTCAGTTTCTACTCTTTCTAGCAAATAAGAATAAGAAGAAATAACATGGAATCTGAACTCCCAATGTTTACTTTCTGTGTATAGCTAAAAAATATCATCTCTCGTACCCCAGTTCCTGATATCATTAGAATAATAGCTGAGAGCACTTCAAAAGCAATTACAAAGATACGAATATGCAGCTTACCAAAGTATCAAACCGTTATTATAGTTGCAAATTGCAGCATTAAACAGTTCTGGAGCACTGCTAGACAAGTGCATAGCAAACAGGTAAAAATGAAAGAAAGCGGGCTCTCTGACCACCTCAACAACCCCACAAGAAAAGGTAGTAACGTGAATGATACTATTAGAGAAAAATGAAGCACAATCCAATGAAAATAAAAGAACTATGTAATTTTAATCATAAACTTAACTCAATGGTTCCATATGCTCAGTACATGGAACTCAAAACAAAACAAAAATCCACACCCTAAGTTCTCCCTTTTGTCTACAAGGGTAAGTATTTGTCAAGTCTCCCATGTGTTTATCTTTTAAATAACCTTCAGTAAATATTTACAGTCCTAGAGTTCTTTTAGTCAGTTTGATAAACTAAAAGCAGTTTGGAAAAGAAACCCAAAGCTTTCAAAATGTGAATTATATCTCAAAGTTATTCAAAACTTCTAGGAAGAATGTCCGAAATTTAAAAAATAAAGCTAACAACTTTTGATTCCAAGAACAATTTAGAGAATTCAAACATGAAATGCAAATATGGTCTTGATGGAAATCTAACCTTTAGCATTTGCAATACAAAAAGCTTCCAATGTCCACTTAGTATAGCAAAAATCTCCTTTTGTCCGAGATATGAGTCACTTCTCTGGTTTGCCACAAGAGTCAAAACAACTGGAAGCAAAACTGACCACTGCAGTAAATAAGATAGTTATATGTGAACAAAGTTTGAGTTGAATATACCATGATTTAGTTCATAAATAGATGGTTTGAATGCTCACCAGTTGAGCTTATCCAGGTTCAAAACAGATGGCAAGCACATAGGCTATTCCAGTGGCAGCATACACAAGACAAAGCAGGACCAGATAGTTATCCTGAATTGTGGATCTTGGATTGTTGAAGAAATAGAACATTGACAGATAATCTGCTGGCTTTACAATGGTATTCAAATAGTCAACTGTGACCTTTTCCATGAAAAAAGCCAAGCTGCTCATGCTAGAATCGTTTCTCTCCAGTAGTGTAATTCATCTTTTACGCAACGACTGGGGCAAGGACGGATGAAAGACTTGGCTGGGAATTGATGATAGCAAACAAAAGTGACTGAAGTCATCGGGTATCGAACATGTTCCTCTAATTTCACAAATCATGAACCAATGTGAATAATTATAAACAAAGCAACAAAAAAATGAGGAAAGGCAAATTTTACAGATGAACTTCGTTGTAATCAGAGATAGGGTAAATATTATCACCTTCTATAGATATGATGAAGAAAAAGAAAAGGTAAGATGTTCTTGACCTGGACGGGCTGGACCAGATGTTGGACGGTTCTGCAGCAAGACGATGACTTCTTTGTTGTTCGAGTAAACCATATGTTCTGATTTAAGACGAGTAAAGCAGATGATTGAGAGCAGCTGAGGTGTGAGGTCATTGAGGAGAAAAAACGAAAGGCCTCTGTATATCCACGTTGAGAAAACGGAGGGGGTAAACTGCGCTTAATATTTCGGGACTGTAGAAACGGAAATAGGCCAACTAACTCGCTTAGAGCTTTTATATATATAGTAAGAAATAAGAATATGTTAGCATAGAATTTCATCAAATAAAGTTCATAATATAATGACAACTGCTATTATGAATAGCATGAATTAATTCCCAACTAAGATCGAAAACAATTTAGAGATAAGTCAGAGAACTATTACCTAAATTTTGGAGTAATGGGCATCCAATCGGCTATGAGTATGTGTTTTCTATTGAAGTAATCATCAATGCAGAGTTGTATTAAAATGTACTTCTATTTTTATAGCATCATGTGTATTCACTCTCAATATAGAATGACAAGAAAAGAAAATTTTCTCAATTCGTAGGACCGTTCATTGAGAACACTAAAAGCGTCTAAATTTTTAGAGGTTTGAATAAAAGCGTTTAATATTATATTTGCCTATTGTGAAATACTGATATCTATGCAGATTGACCCCCCACCCATTTACCCTTCTAATCCTCCCCAGTTTAACCTTTTCTCCTATAGGAACATAAAATAGAGGATGGCTTTTAATGAAGGCAATATAGGCAATGCAGTAAAAGTGTTTAGTAATTTATCACCCAATATTGTTTCTTGAATCACATGTTTGGTAACGTAGACAAATAAATATATAGGACTGGGAGAGACATATAATGTATTGAAAATAATAGCATTTGTACCAAATAGATGGGAATATAAAAAACAACAATGGTTTAAAAAATACAAAAATAAACTCCATTCCAAGGAAAGAGATCTTAAAAAACATGAAAGTGTCAATGTCAACTGCACGTGAGCACCACATGACTAATACCGAGAAAAAATTCCTTAATCATTTGTATCACTATTATGTGCTTCACCATATTAAAGTAGTGCGTTTTGTCCTCAACAACAGGTACATGGCTACGAAATCTATTGAAACCTACTCATTTGAAAAACAAACCCACCTTATATTACACCTTAATTTTGTATATGTATCAATAGATTTAAGTGATTCAGCCAAAGATGCTTTTGTTATAATTTTAATACTCATCTGCCAGCAGCGCCATCAAATAGAAAACACACTTAAGAGATACAATGAACTCAAATCCCTCTAGAAAAGAAAGTACAACTTCCTTACAACTTAAACAAAGTTATGTGCCCCCACCTTATTGCCATTAATCAACAGGCCCAGCAAACTAAGACTAAAAGGACAGTGTCTATTCTACTAATTTAGCACTTGTGGGTTTCCAAGTTATAATGAGTTACATAACATACTGATCTTCCCTATATACGGACCTCAACTATGGAGATCAGGTGAGCCTCTACTACATAGCAGGAGCATATATCACTCAATGACACATTTTCAGCTCCCACAATTTCAAAATCAAGTAATTGCATACAACCCACATTTTCCAACCATTAAATCAATACTCCGTCATCAATACTCCAACAGGTTAAGAACACTTTAATTGACGCAAATTTGTGACATAAATGTATATTTTAAGCATTGGCACCTGAATCTCCAACAACAATAACCCTGACTTGTCCACAAGGTGGTCCTCCATTCTGCTCTTTGTTTTCCCTCTCCCTTTCCCTCCAAAACATGGACTCCTGCTAAACAACTACAGCTACAAACACGAAGAAAAGCTCATCAAAACTCAAAAGCTCTGACATTCCCTTCGTCAAGTACCCTGACTTTCCTTCACTGGAGACGTCGCCGGGAATTCCACCACCACCTGTGACGATGTTAGTTTAAAAGAAACCGTGTGAAGCGGTGTTGAAGACAACAGAATAGAAAAAAACTGATCAATCTATTTCTTACAGTAAGAAGGTCCTGAGTGAGCTACGACGGAGAACCTTGGTTTTGGGGGGGGGGGGGGCTGAATTGCACTCGAGTTTTATGGATTTGTGATCACCAAGACTGCAAACGCGAGGACGGGTGGAACGGCGGCCTGCGAGCAGCAGCTTGAATCTGAGTTTTGAAAATGATCTCAGGAAACAAATTTAAAACATAAAAGAAGAGTAATAACCGAAGCTTAGAAGCTTAAAATGAGAAATAAGGCAACTTCTTTAATTAACCATTCTTAAACTCTCATCTCCACCTATGGATAAGCACTAAGCAGCACTTGCTTTCAAATGATGGAATCACAGTGCCATATGGATCAGCACAATTTGAGATGACACGCATAATCTGTTATAAGAATGAAACCAAAACAAACCTGAAAACTCCATGGCAGAATCAATGGATATCATTGTATATACTTTACCCATGGTTCCTAATTGGTAAGATTTTAGCTAATTAGTAGGTGGCAGAGTAAACATGCTCAACCAGTCAACCTGTAGTGAAATTAAAATAATAACATGCTCAACCAGTCAACCTGTAGTGAAATTGAATTATTATTATGATATAACTAATTAGTTATATAAATTGTTAAAGAATAAAGATTGTCTAGCGGGAGGTCTGGAGTTCAAAACCCGCTAGGCACATAAGGATTTGAAACTCAATGGAGTGAGTTTCAGCCATGATTACACCAGGCCCCCGAGCCTCCCTCCCCAGACCCCTTCGGAGTAAAATAAATAAATAAAGATTGTCTATTTGTGTCACTTGTGTGTAGTTAACTAGTGAACTTTTTAGTTTGTACTCAGTGGCGGATCCAACGTGGGGGCAGGGGGGCAGGTACCCCCACTCAACCCCCACCCAACCCCTCTATATATATATTTAATTTAATATACAATTATACTCCCTCCGGTCCTAAATAAACTTCACACTTTGACTTCACACAAATTAAGGAAATAAATTTGACTTTACTGTAGAGTCCACTGTTGTGACACTGTTTGACACTGTTTGGCGCTGTTTTGCACTGTTTTGATGTAGATAATTTGCCAAATAAGGAAGGAAGAAGAAGTGTGAAGTTTATTTTGGACCTACCCAAAATGGAAAGTGTGAAGTTTATTTAGGACCGGAGGGAGTATATTTTCTGTGATGAATGTAAACATCTTATAAGTTAATGATAGTTTTTGCAATCGAAAGACCATCCAGCCGAGTGGTTTATGACTTCCGTGCGTGTCACCCCTTCTTCCTCGGTCAAGGATCGAATCCCTATACATTTTTTATGCATATTTTTTCATTTTGGCCATTTTTTAAGCTTGAGCACTTAGAATGAATTTTAAGTGGCGCATCATTGCTTTAATTTTTTTTTTCTGATTTGAAAGATTTAAAATACCTTAATATAGTTGCAATTTTAATTTCACATATATATTTGTAAAGTGTAATAGTGACATTTTTTCTATTAATATAACTATTTTCTACATATACTTGTATATCCAAAACTTAAAATTCATTGATATGTTAACATGATTTCAAATAAAATAAAATTGTATGGCTTGTTTGTTGCCGGTAAAGTTAAATTTACAATATTAACAATATTTTGTCGAACAAATATTTTGTTATTTATAATTAATTTTACAATATTTTTAATCTGTTTTATTGTTTGTGACATTTCCGAAATAATACTTTTGTTGTGCGAGTTCGCCCCCACTCACGAAAATTTCTGGATACGCCACTGTTTGTACTTGCTGTCATTTTTCTTGGAATGTGATTATAAATTATTTATGTGACTCTTCTGAATAGTTGAAAAAGCCGAAAACTATTCATGCGTACTTTTAAAGTGTGAATTCTGAAAGTTCTACATCTCAGTCGATTGTATCTCCAAACACCGATCTTTCAAATCCCGAGTCATCCTACAAAGTGTCAAAGAATTGAAATCAATGAGAGATTTGATATTCAATCCTTAGAACGTGATCCGGGATTTTCGTGATATGCAAGAAAGGCGTTCTAAGTTTTAATTACCAAACAGTTTAATTTTGTAATTTTTAATATTACCAATGAATATTGGTATATGATTTATCAATGCGAGATAAATATTGTTGGTATCATGGGGATCAACACCACCCTTTGATTCGGGGTCTAACCTTTGATTATGTTTGACTTACTGGCACCACGATGTGATGTAGCCCCTCATGTCCATCCACCGCTCAGTAGTGAGGCTCTGCACTGTCGTACGTAGTGAACTGTGAGGGGTGCCCCACAGGAATCTGTCTTGACTTGGGGACTACATATTAATGTGTTTAATTGAGCGTGTTCACCTCCTTATCATCATCAATTGGTTTTAAAAAGGATATGAATGTTATTTAACCACATAACTCTGTAGTTAAGTGAGGTTGGGGTCAGAAAGCTCAAAGAGGGGTGACCCATTGGGAAGTTTGTCGAGAGAGGTGAATCGATCCTACAAATACTTCAACATTGAATAAATCACACATTCTATGAAAAAAATATGGAAAAATAAATTAATAATTAACAATTTGTCCAAAATGCTCTCAACACAAGTCACATCCTCTTTAAGTTTCTTTTGAAACAAAGTGATTTAAATAATATTTATAGGTCAAATTGGAAAAATGTAATATGGAGGATACATCCTTAACATCTTTAGTCATATATTAGAAATATACAATTGTTTAAATTACATATAGATAACTTCCCAGTTTAAAATTTATGCATTTTTACTCTTATTTGTATCATCGTACGAAATACATTTTCTACTAACTTTTAAAACGTGCTTGGGGGGACATGGTTCATATGTCTAAGTTAATACATTCCCCTTCAAAATAAATATCCTCCTATGAGAATGGGTAGGTTGAACTCTTATAATCTCAATACAACAGTATATACTTATTTTTTACCCGCACGGGTAGCTCAGTTGGTCGAGCGGTGGGAAAAATTGGACGTAGACCAAGGTTCGAATCCCGCAGCGACCAAAAGGGGGTTTTCAGAACCTGAAATAAGGTTGGTTCTCTGGTGCGCACGGGTAAAGGCCTACTGCCGCTTTGCTGACCTAATCATCGTGATTAACCTCCCCACCATCCTGTCGGGTCGGGGTGGGGGGCTTGGGGTTGGGCATCAACCTTTTGGACGTATATACTTATTTTTCAATTTAAAAAACTCAAAATTCTCTCTAACCAAAAGTCCCATTAACCTATCATCAATTAAGATCGATCAGATAAAACAGATATAGCCGGTGGGCTAAGCTCAACTACTTGATAGGGGTGCCACAAGAGATAATTCTTGAGTTCAAATCACGTCAACTGCGATAAGAAGTTACTACGTAAAATGCATAGAATCTCTGCAAGTACATTGACAAGAGTCTCACTCATTATCTCCTATCTTGTGATTAAAATCCAATTTAATATCTTGTAATTAAAGTCCAATCAAAATTCTCTCAGTTAACTGTTCGGCCAGTGTTGGAGCTCTCAGGGATGGGGTGTCATGCAACTTTTTCTTTTTTAAGATAAAAAAGATACGAGAAAAGTAAAAATTTAGGAGAGTTCAATTAGGAAAGTATATAACAAAAAGACAGGGGCGGATCTGGCATAGCGCCAGGGAGGGCCTAGGCCCCACCTCAAAAAAAAAGAAATTACTAGTATATATATATTATATATGTACTGGGAAGAAATGGTATAATTAGAACAAACGTCCTATTGTAAACAAAACTTACATTGGTGTGATGGTAGAAGTGTGATTGGTAGTGTAGAGGTTATGTGTTCGATTCTTAGTTGGAGTAGCATTTTTTTGTATTTTCCATCCAAGTCCAGGAACATGCTATCTTACACAAATCAAGTCTGAATTTTAACTTTTGAATAATAGGATGCAAAATTAAGTAGTCCAACTAATTGGGCTTTATTAGTCTGAAAAACCAATTAGTTCAATTGATTGAGCTTTTTGAATATTGTCCTAAAAATTAATTAGTTTAATTCATTGGGCTTTTGAATATTGACCGAAAAATTAATTAGTTGAATACATTGGATTTCGTAGGTGAAAATAAGTTTTCTTTACATAGAGTATAGATTTTAGAGTAAAAAAATCGGTTTATCTTGTTTCCGAGAAGCTAACCTAAAAATTGGCACTAAACATTTGGGTAACCGATAAAACTTTGGTTCGATATCTATGACTTTTAAGATAATTGTATTGTCGATTCTGTAATATTCAATTTATTCTTTGACATTTCTATAATTTACATTTTGACTACTAAGATATTATTATACTATACTACATTTTGACATTTTTTATAATATACGTTATTTAATTAAATTTTGGCCCCACCTGAACGTAAATGCTAGATCCGCCCCTGCAAAAAGACAACGTATATATTTAGGGGAGATTTTGATATCGATATTTCTGATTAAATTTAGATCATGTAGATACTATCTATATGCCTTTTTTAATTACGAATTGACCCTTTTAAATTTCTAAAATGTATTCTCTATAAAATATTTAAAAACTAAATTAAATTCAAATACTTTTAGTGACTTTCTTAATGTATTTAAAAGTAAAAAAAAAATCGCACTTCATTACTCTGAGTTTATAATAACGATCAGGAATAATAGTTAATACAACATCAGTAATAATTAATGTGCTTATGGACCATTTATCATTTTATTTATATTTTATAATAATTCGCCTGTAGAATTCTGCATGTGCCAACAATAAGTTGAGAATTTTGAATTGAATGCCGTAAAACAAGAAAGGTACGTAGTAGCATTTAATGAATAAATGGACAAATGATACTATAGTATAAGATAACAATGTAGAAACAATGCAACTGCAACAATGCAACTGCAACAAATGTGTGGATATGTGATATCATAGATATACATATACAAAAACAAATCAATGACATTTACTCTATTTTTTTCAACATTTATACAATTCTGATAACTTTTTCTCAATAATTTTAATCACAATGCCTACATCTAAATACTCTTTTTAAAATTATGGAGAAAAACTTAACAAAAATATATAAGACTGTTCAAATAATGATAGATATATTTTGCTTTCTACAGAGTAATTTAATGTGTAGTTGTTTATCTCTCACATCTCACATGTGCAGCGTGCACACTGTAGCATTGGAGATATATATTGTAACGACAAAAATAATTAATATTGTAAGCTTTTCAAATTAAAAGAAAACGAAAAAGGAATTGCCTCTTTTTACTTCAGATAAAAAGGAGACTTAATAAATCTGAAAAGGCTAAAACACCCTCAAATAAAAAAAACATAATTATATCCTACCTCTCGTGTGACATCGCACCCAAACGTCCTTGAAATTCAAATTAAATTTCAATGCTTAGGTATTGAATTTCCCTATTATCGAACAATTGTAAAACGATTAAAGTTTTACTTAACATATGATTAATCATATTACTGTTTGGGCTCGTATAATAGTAATGGACTTCCAAATAA